CAAAGTAAACTAACTGTACGATGTATATATCCGTTGACATATATCGCTCGTGGTATATGCATACATAGGAGTACTCTAAGTGATCATATCTTTCTCGCACACCGCGTCTCTTTACGTTCTCGACTTTTACTTCCTCTCTTGTGGCGGTAAATCTCCCCCGGAGTACCCCCCCCCCCGCGGTGTACATATTTCTGATCGGACGTTCGCGAGAGCGGATCGGTTTTGCACGGTTCTCTTCATCATTCTGGATCCCTTTTTTTTCCTCCCTGCTCTCGATCACGGTAGATAAATAAAAATTTTCGAAATAAATTACGAACAATTCTCGTTCCCTTTTGTTCGACCGCTTAATTTTAGCCTGGGCGATCTTGCGGTTTTACGTGCGCGTCTCGTTAACGAGTTAAGGGATTGTGCATTATTAAGAACCCTGTCACGCGCGCGAATTCGAAGGTGAACATCCCGCAACTATCATCCTTAAATTACTTCCGAAATTTGATTTGTAAATTTTATTTCAGATTTACATGTAAGATAGAATCGAATTGATCGTACGAATTTTTCAATTACGATAGAAAAATGTGCAGCACACAACCGTTTACGCGACGCATGGCAGGATTAATAATAACTCTTGACGTGTCGAAAAAAAGAAGAGATAATGTTTGAACACCGTTAAAAATGTGGGAACGATATGATGATCGAATTGAATAACTTTCTGTGCGTCGTTATGTGCTTGTACCCAGTTTCGCCGAATGAGCGCGATTTGCGCATTCTCTCACGCTATCTTAAGTAACAAGAATTTTTATATACCTGTAGAAAAGAAATGCCTCCCTCCTTCACCTCGGGGAGGCGTCTCTTCCTTTGATTTCGATGAAAGTTGATTTTGGTCTCGTAGAATAACGATAAGAGTAAGATAAGCATTTTACGAACGAATAGAGGGTGAGATATGTATTACTTCACGCAGTTCACGCTCTCTCGATGGCAAAGCGAAAAAAAAATTAACGCAGACACACACAAAAGTGTTTTGTACAAAGGTCCTTTGGTTATGTATGTATAATAAAGTGACGTCCAGAAATATATTTGCGGAGGATTGTCTTTTTCGATGCGCGCGGCAAGACGAATACGATCCACTTATTCCTTAATCGACTTGAAGATACTCGCTTTTCTGCAAGAATCACATTATTCACAGAGATAATCTTCAGATCGGATAAATGTTAGATTTATTTTTTAGATCGATCGTGGACGAGCAAGTCTTTAATCGATCCTAATAATGTTTACGGGGTTTACGTTACACCACGCGCAAACCACTCGGTAAATAAATACGACTGACGTAGTATAAAAACGTGTTTTAATAAATATCAATAAAAAAAGTTACAGAAAATATCTACAGAGATTACAAATACTAATATATAAAATTACATGTCCCGCAACATGATTATCTAGGACCCTTACATTTGTCAATATGTCTAGTCTTAACATTAGTCTTAATTATAATGTCGATCGCTACCGCTAAAGGTAATCATAATACTCTTCATTGTGACACCCGATTCAAAGAATATTGTCAATTTTTTTTTTTATAGTTCCGTTTACGCGCGCATTTTCTAACACGCATTAATAGTAAATAGTATGCCATTCAACAATCAAAATTTCTGCGAGTTAAAACGACGAGACTGAAAAAATACAGACTGCCTATTATGAGATAACTCTTGCTCGTGCGACGAGTACAAAGAATAGGAGATTTGCTAAAGGGGACCAATATTCACAAGTATGAAACGAGTTCTAGATTACAAGGCACTAGTAAGAACTCAATAGTCACTCTTTCTAAATATCCACTGTACCCTGCGGATAAGCAAAGAGCTTTTATTTGTCGTAATATAGGACTAGCAAGATATACAGGATGTACCACCGCTAAGGCATTACTCTTCCATAGACAGATAGTAAGAATGTTGCTTCGTCTTTTTTAATTATACAATCTTTAAATTTTTAACATTTATATATTTTTTCGAAACTTTGAAGTAAAAGTTTTATCAATTTTATCTATTCGTGAGCGCGAAATTATCTATTAACC